CCTATTGTTTTCCACTTAGGTACCACAGCTTCAACCCTCTCACAGGTATGGGGACAATGTCTGGAGCTAAAGGCACCTGATTTCAATAAAGTTGCAGTGAGGGTTGTAAAAATGAGTGGAAAATAACAGATGCAGAATGCATTAGTATTCTGAATGCAAATGAGGAGTGATTGCTTCCCTGGTCAAGGGCTAAATATAAATGTCTGACTAAAGCTGAGTCACTTAGGGTAACGGGTCATTAGAGGCTGGAAGAAATGCACCACAGAAGCATGAGTGATGCTTCCCAAGACAAAAGAAAATCACCTGGGAACCATAGCGAGTCTCTGGTGTTTTTCAGGAAGCCTTAGGAAGGCTTAGGAAAACAACCCATATGGGTTCACCATCTCTGCTTTTGCCCATCAACCCCAGATTCTGACCTGAAAGATGATCCTCTTGCTCTGTGTGAATTTGTAAGTTTGCTGTGGTTTGATTCATTTGTTTGTTTTGTCAGACATGGTCTCCCTGTATAGCTCTGGTTGTCCTGGAACTCACAGAGATCCACCTGCTCTGCCTTCCAAGTGCCAGCCAGGATTAGAGGTGTACACTACCACCCAAAGCTGTGCCAATGTTTGTAACTTATGTATTGTAAATAATACTGGTCAATAGAAGCTCAAGTCCAAAGACAGAAAGAGCATCTCAGAGGCTTTCCTGGACTGACTAGTGGAATATTAGCAACATCGTTTTTGTTAACTCATATATCCAGGATCTAAGACTTCAGCAGTGTATATTGTTTTCTACTGTTAAAAAAAAAAAGGAAGCCTGCCTGGGGTGATATCTTATATTTTCTTATATTAGGTATAACTTTTTTAAAAATTTAGACAAAAAAAAGGTGATATGTGTTGATATCTTGCTTGTACAAATGAAATCTGTCTGAAGATCACAGAATTGAGCTTGCCACTAGCTTACCACAGAGGTCTGGAGGTCTGTACAGACAGACAGGAAGTGAGACAGTGGGTGGAAACAGGATATAAGTGGGAAGAAACAGGAACTTGCTCTCTTGTCTGCAGAGATACTAAGAAGGTAAGGTGCTGGTGGCTTGCTCCTTCTCTCTGATCTCTCAGCATCTTCCTCTATATCTGACTCTGGGTTTTTACTACTTAGACCAGTTAAGAACTCCATATACATCTACCTTCCTCAAATCTACTCAAAGTCATGATAATTTTATGTGAATTGTGTGACTAGATCAGAACACTAACAAACCCCCTCCTGAAGACTGCGAAAATGATGAGATGGTTTGCTCATTGCCCTCTGCACACTGTTCTTAAAGCTCATCTCACAGATGGCTTTACAATTTCCCACCATGAAGTGACAGGAGTGCCCAGCTCAAGCAAGAAAGCATACTGATCATCAGTGTTTCTGCTTTGATGGATAATCATTTCTATCGCTTGCTCTGAAGGAAACCATAAGGTTTATTCTAAAAGATTTTATATTAGCTTCACATCATAGCTCTCAATGGTGATATTTTTGTTCTGTGATCCATAGTAAAGTTTGAAAGCCACAGTAGCAGTTAATTCTTTTGAAGATACCTTGGCATTACTTTTGACCCTTGATGTCAAATAAATGTTAAGTTAAACACAAATGTAAAGTTAACACAAATAAACAAAGTTTTGTTTTTAGTTTACTTCTTCCCCAGAGACCACAGTGTGTTCTGACTGCAGTGGGATATGTACACATATTACAGAGCAAGGCCTAGAATCCCCCTTTCTGTCCAGCATTTTGCCCTTTGCTGGAATGAATGTGGCTTGGACTTACTCCCCTCTGCCAGAGGCAAAAGGACCCAGAACCTCATCAAACACCAAGGCTATCATTTTGAAATGCAAGTGGGATTTTGTTTTCTTGGCTTTGATTTTGTTTGCTGATAAATTTGTTCTAAAAAATAGCTTTAAAAGAGTAGGGCAGTGAGTGAAAGTACAGGGGAGATGCAATAAAGGCTGTGAGAAGCCTGTCAGTCATTCAAGATAGACCAGAAAATGCTGGGTGGAGCCGCTGACAGTTGCAAAAGGGCACTCAGGAGCTCATGAAGATGATACATGGTTCATTACATACTAAAAGTCATATCCCTGGATATTTAAGACACTGTTGAGATATGCAATGCAACGAATTATATGCAGAATTCCCTGTACTAGATAGAGCATGTAGAGGGACCTAAGCCCCGAAGCCCCACCCAATATGAATTATATAAAAAGCCTGTATGTATGATATAATTTTCTGATGTAACTGCACTGTATGATACAACCCCATTGCCCCCAGACTGATAGCTGGGAAACCAGCATTGGACTGACTCAGACCCCCTGAACATGGGTCTCAGTTAGGAGTCCTGGGCAGTCTAAGGGACCTCTGACAGTGGAACCAGGATGTATCCCTGGTGCACAAAAGGACTTTGGGAGCACATTCCCCATGGAAGGATACTCCCTTAACCTAGAGCCAGGAGGGAGGGCCTAGTTCCTTCTCCAAATGACTTGACAGATTTTGATGACCCCTCCTGGAAGGCATCACCCTCCCTGTGGAGTGGGGGGGGGGTTAAGAGGGTGGGAAAGAGGGAAGGAGGGAAGAAGGGAGGGAGGAAAGGAGGGAGGGAGGAACTGGGATTGATATGTAAAATAAGAAAAAAGTGATACAACCCCATTACACACTGTATGACATAACTTTCTGATATAGTTCTGCTATAACATACAGCCCTGTTATGCATTGCTGATATTCAGGAAACACTGTCTTTGCCCTAGCCTTCTTCCTCTATTGGAGGAGAATCTTTCTCTAATAAATTGTTCAAACCTCTGTTACACTATGGATATATTTCTGTCCAACTCCTTGTTCTAGGACACAAGTAACCAGAGCCCCTCTGAGGGTACCCAAAAACTCACTGTCCCCATATCAGTCCCATTATTGACTTCCATTATTGGCAACTCTGTGGAGATCAAGGATGATTTACACCACATAGAAAGGAGAAAGACAGCTTCCAACAGCTATGAAACACACTACAAAAATCTTAGGAGTTTTAAGCCTTCCATGATCATGTTTTTTTGTTGAGTCACATGCTACTCAGATGTGTCATGGCATCCTCAAAGGGCTGCCCATTGCCTGCAATTGGAGAATTTCCAGAAATAACTAATTTTCCATGATGGCTTTATTAGAAAGAAAGAAAAAAAAGAAACTATCCAAAACTATATCTGAGCTGTAAATCTTATTGAGGAAAACTTGCTTGTGTGAATATGCTATAGTTCTTAATCAAAGGAAAGTAGCTCTGTTCTCACCCCACACTTCAATAAGTTGGGGGCATTTGAAGCAATTATCCTAATTTTTAGTTATTTTGCTATTGTATGTGTATGGGTGTTTTGCTTGTGTATGTGTCTGTGCACCTCATGTATGCCCAGCCCACAGAGGCCAGAAGAGAGTTTTGGATTCCCTGGAACTGGAGCTATGGATAATTGTGGAATACCTTGTGGGTACTGGGAATTGAACCCTGATCCTCAGCAAGAGCAACCAGTGCTCTTAACCACTGAGCCATCTCCCAGCCAGACAGCAGTTGTCTTCATGTTACAGTCTTAACTGCCCCGTGCACATTAGTGCCATTGGCACAACTTCCATAAAATGACTGCTGAAGCAACAGGTTTATCATCTTACAGTTCTGTAGACGGGGAGTTTCACCAGGCTAAAATCAAAACATGAGAAAGCTGAGGTCCTCCCTGGCATTCCGGGGAAGAACCTGCTTCTCTGTGTTCGGGGTGTTAGCGGTACCAGTTCCTTACAACTGAGTCACGTCTCCCACTCACACCAGCCAAGTGCAGACTCTGAACTAAACCCAGCTGGCATAATGGACCAAGAAATGTACAGTGAGTACATTTCTTTCTTTTCTTATTTTAGACATTTGCCTTTTCTATTTCTGTATTTTATTATTTAAATCAATTTTAAATTTACATATACTTATCATATTCTTCCCCACCCCCAAGACTTTCCAGATCCCCTCTCTCCTTCTCTACCTACTTAACTTTCTCAAAAAACAAACAAAACACCAATATACCAGCAAAATAAAACCACACCAAAAGAAGGACAACAAAATCAAAACCTAACAACAAGACACCACCATTACCCTAGCATATTTTGTAGGCAGTACCCCATTGTTGATGAAAGGACATTTCCAGAGTTACAAATGGATGAAAAAATGTTTAAAATTTTAAAAAGTAAACTTAACTTTGTCTTCATCCCACACTGTATACTTTTATTTTTCCATAGACATGATAATTAACATATCTCTAATTTAGACAATACAATACATTAACATTAATAAATATTCCTTATAAATATAAATATCTAAATATATTTAGAGTACACGTACAAAATTTTTACTGACTGGTATGAATAATCAAAAATTGAAAATTACCATGTTAATAAGTATACTACATATATGTAGTTAAGATGTATACTATAACTGTTTAAAAGCATGTTTGTGCATTGACTTGATATTAGTTTTCTAAGAGCCTCACAACAGCTAATTAAGATATTGATGATTTCATGTAATTATTCAAATATAACATGACAGAATGGTTACAAAGGAGCCAAGGAAAGGTTAAGCAAATGTTTTGTAAAGATCTATTTATATGTGCATTCATGCACATGGGCAGGCTCATGTGCCCTGCCCGTGCCTGTGCCCTGTGCCCGTGTGTGTGTGTGTGTGTGTGTGTGTGTGTGTGTGTGTGTGTGTGTGTAAGCCTACATGGAAGCAACAGCTAAAATACTCTCAACCTCTGGATCTTTGTGTTAAAAATTTTGTTTTCTGGTGGTCAGGAAAAAACATCATAAGCCACATTGCATATTGTTAACAAGTAGATAATGAATAAACAAATGATACTTATAATTTTATATTTCAATACATTATTTCACCTGTCATTTATGTTTATCTATTTATATTTTGTAAGTGAATATAGAATACTCCCTTTAAAAGTTAATAAATCCATTCTACTTACCAAACTATTCCCTGAGCCCCAGAGCCAATTGGCTTCAGGTTCTGGTAGCGCTTGAGAACTGTGAAGGTTGAGTCTCCTACTTCCACGCTGTAGAACTGGTTATCTACTTTGCTTTTGCTCATGTTGTAATGTTTGGCAATATATGACACATCCACGTGTTTATCGAAGCCCTGTCAAGAAGAACAAGACATGAGCAGTAATATAATGATAATGGAAACAGAGAAATCTTTTCTTTCAATTATTACAAATATCTGGCCATCTCATATAAGAAAAAAATCTGTATTACACCCTGCCAGTTTATTTGAAGTAAATGAGGCTTAAAATGCAAAGGATGGTTTCTCAATATGAAAATATTGAAGGCCTGGGAATATAGATCAAGTTCGATCCCCAGTAACTCAACAACAGCAACAACCAACACCAGTTTGAAACAGAGAAAGATGACATTTGGCCATAGGATAATTTCATCCCTTTTAGGAAAACAAATACTGGCTCTAGTGTATCTTAGACACCTAAGGTTTAAGGAAACAAGGAAGGTACTGACTGGTCCTAAGAGGGAGGGAGGCTGAAGATGATGAGTGCAGTCCTTCTTCAGAAAGAGCTTAGGCCACAAACTAGCATGCAGGTTCAACTTTTATTAATTAGGTAAATTTGAATTAAATACAGTTGACTTTGTTTTTCTCATTAATACCCAAAGTATTACTATTCTTATTAAGTGCTGAAAATACTAGATTAAATAAACATTGTTCTATAATTCCATGGCACTCTGTTTTGAGGGTGCTTAGATATTTTACATATCTTGGCCATTGCATTTCCTGTTTATCTGTGAAGAAGTTTAAATGTCAATCATATTTGATAAAGAGTTGTATTAAAATTCTGAATATAGACACATAATATATAATAAGGAGTTATTACTCATGTTTAGTACTTAATCATAAAAGCTATATGTCATACTACACAGAACACTCTATAGTTAGATGGGTCATACTATGAGAGAATGCCTATGTAATACTTAGGCCTCTGCTTGGTTTCATTTAGGTTTAAATAAGCGTTCTTTCTGTATATTCTTCCCAACAATTGAAAAACAATCTCAGCAAGTAGTTCTCATTAGGCAAAGCATTTACATGCTGGAGCCGTTCAGTTTGGAGAATCTTGGCAAGTCCTATAAAGCAACAGAGAGCTATAACTCATATGTTCCTTGTGAAAGCTTACTGGTGGCCTTGCAGGAGCTGGGTATCCCACACAACAGATCATTTCCCACATACATCATGAGGTTCAAATGTCCTGATGAAGCTTCAGTCAGTGAAAGCTCCACCTACAATGTTTGAGCCTAGAATTTAAACCAAAGAATTTTTATGTCATTTAACACATTAACTTTTCTGAATACCAGTTCTGGTATAATTTGAAAGATTTAAACTCTCTTAGGCTTGAACCTCTGAGTTAGCCACAAAACAATTTTCCTTGGAAAGTTTTGCCATCTCATGTCTATATAAAAACTTGAAATGTCAGTATCTCTTAATCTTTGCCTGAATAGAATGTGATCCAGGCAGGATGATGAGGTCATGGAACTCGCCCCAGGCAGGATGGTGATGTAAGGAAAACTGAATGTAGATTATTTGACCTAAGCTAGGAGACCTGTTTGCTATTTCTTTCCTGCACCTGCTTAGCCATGAAAATATGCAATTGATGTCTCAGGATTTCTCTGTGCCATAGATCTTGGCTGACATATCTTCTTATATTTTTATCATTCATTTGTCTATCATTTAAGTATTTGTTGTAGTGTTGGGCCCTTGCAGATGATAAGGAACTCCCATATTCTAGAAGCATGTTTTTCCCTGGGCCATAAGCTCAGCCCTTCTTTAAATATTGAGACAAGAATCTTGGTAAATTACACAAGGTGGCCCTCAACTCAGTATGTGATCCAGGATTGCTTGAAAGTTGTCATCTTCCAGCTTCAGTTTTCCAAGTAGCTGGAATCATAGGGGTGTGCCACCATACTCCTAGTCTTCTGCCACCTTATATATGTGTTTCAGAGGTGGGGATATAGCTCAGTGATTAAAAACACACTGGCCTAGTTACATGCAAGTCCCTGAATTCAATGTGCATCTCTGAAAACTCAATAATAAAAATGTAATCCTATAGGTACAAATGTGATTTGACCTTTTATGGGTGTGTTAGCAATGTGTGTACAGTCAAATAAACATTTATATTTTGAGAATATGAACTCCCAAAAAGATAGCCTGGTGTCTGCTGGATTTAGAACTTGGAACCATAGTGCTTGGTGGGCATGATTAACCTGCTTAAAAATGTGGCCACTCCTGGTCATGTCCCCAGCCTCAGGCATATCATCTTTCAGCAAAACAAAGACTATAACTTCATTTCTATTTCCAATACCTCCTGTTACAAGGTTAATAAGCATTAAAATAGTACAACTAAAGCAAAAGCTAATCACAGATGAGCACAGTGTCGACTAAAACAGAATCTGTGTGTTTCTGTGTCTCTTAGTGAGCAAGATTACAGATAAGCCATGCATCTGTAAGACCCTCAGAATGAGGAGTCTTCCAGGTTCGGTCGATACCCCAAGAACTCAATGTCCAGTCCAGTTGCTGCAAAACGCAAGAGGCTTTAATGAACAGGAAACGTTTGCGCAAACGGGCTCCTCCAGCACGCAGGCTAGGGAGAAGCCCCCTCCCCCGGGCACAGGTGTTTTTAAAGGCAACCCCACAAGTTGAGGGGGTGGGACCCTCTGTCCATTGAGTACATGACCCTTGGAGGCCAGATGGTCTGCTATTAGGGTCAGCAGACCTTAGGGCCTCAGGTGTGCTAATTAATCTTGTCTGGGCAAACCAGAGTTACAGCTATCTCTTGACCCTATTTACCACCTGTTGACTCACAGGAAAGGAGGGGCAGTGTGAATTCTTCTTATTTCAGGGCCTTGTGAGAGGAAGGTAGCAAATTCCAAGGAACAGATATTGGTTTTTAGGTTAGTCCATCATTAACATTACTTTTTAGGTCTTTCACATCGAAACCATGGATGGTTCTAGGATATTTTATAGAATATCTGTAACAAATATGGAAGCCATGACTTCATTCAGTCTGACTGAAGCTTCAATCATAATTAATCTAGTTAAGCTCATTCCACAGGAAGCTAAAATCTGACCCTTTTTTGTGTTTAAGCAAACCAAGCACATTTTCACAATGAACTAATTCAAAAGTCCTCACAGTTCCAAAGCTGAATGTTTTAACTTGTCCATTAATATTGGGCAGTCTAACAGAGTCTATTATAACCACTTCATAGATTTGGTTTGGTTTTAGAAAAAAAGTATCTCAGGGTATAGATAAGAAATGGAGCACTACATTTTCTATAGTCATATTTCCATATATACACAAGAAAAATACCATAAAGCAACACAAGCCTCACTCATAAATGCAGGAGGACAATTGCCATGGCAGCAATGAGTTATTTCATAGACAATATGTGCCATGTTGTTACACTGTCCACCTTGCCTTTGTTTAATATCTCATCCACTACAGCCAAACAAACAAAAGCATGAACGCTGTGATATTGGTTATCAGTACAAAATTAAACATGATTAACGTATATATAAGGAAAGCCAGAGTCATATTCCATTAAACAGATGGGAGTAGGAGCACAATAAAAGGAAAAGACTCAGGTAAAAGCATTCTCTCCCTAAATGGTAAAACATCACCTGAAACTGTTTATGAAGTTTATTAAAATATGAAAAATAAGATAGCAAAATGAATAATGTTTTGCAATGTTTCATCTCTTTATTTTCAACTTCACTAGATTTGGAAGCACCTATGAACCACACATCTGGACATGTCTTTGAGGGTATTCCCACAAGTTTAGCTGAGGAGGGAAGGCCCACCCTGAATGAGTGGGACCATTGCATGGGGGGGGGCGGATCCGGACTGCATAAACAGAGAGAGAAGAGAAGCTAGATGAGAGCAAACATTCCCATCTCTCTCTGCTTTTTGACTATGGACATAATGTTCTATTAGCTGTGCTTGCCATGCTATTATGACCACATCCCCTGAAGCTTTGAGCTTAGTGGATTGTTTTGGTGGGAGACCAAAATCCTGGGAGAAATGTGGGCAGGGGAGGCTTGTCTCATGGGGCTTCAAAGGAAAGCAAGGACTTTATTCAGTACCTAGTAGCCACTTGTCCTACATTGTGCCTGCAATCTGACTGGAACTAGATAGGGGCTGCTTGTACTGCATTCTGTCCATGCCCTGCAAATCTGAGTGAAACTCAAATCAAAATAAATTGATGGAGGAAAGTACAACCCCAGCTGTGATATGGTTACTGCTTATTTCTCTCTGCCAGCTCTATGGTGGATAACAGAAAGATATGGAAATTTTACAGTTTTGTGAGCAAAGCAGTGTGAGCAAGTACAAAAGCTCAGACAAAGCAGGTGCAAAGCGAGCAGCTATAATTATTATGGAGAAAGTGTGTGCTTGTCTGTGGAAAATAGGAAAGATGTCTCAAAGTAATTATTCCTCTCATCGAAGGCCCCAACATACAAAAATGCAATATGGTTTGAAACAAGAGAGTATGAACTGCGAATGTTGCTAAAGATTTCCTGTGGGGAAATAACTTTCCAGGGCAGTGTTTTCCCGAATCCAGGTACCAGAGCATGCAACTATTATGGTAAAAAGAGGACCCACTACATCTCAAACTGGCAGTGGCGCTTGACAGGATGATCCACACTGTGGTGGTTTTGCAGGCATGCGAAGCACAACAGTTATGGGGTCATGGTGACTTGAATGCAAGTTCCAGAAAGCCATTGAGACCAGACAATGTGAGGCAAGGACAGATTCCCTGAACAAAGCTATGAGCTGCCATTTTATTTAGCAGTGAAGGTTAAGGTTAAGCTGCAAAGAGACCCTAAGATATTGGAGATACTAGACACCACAGGACCAAGGAGAATTGTAGATATGAAAAGAGCTAGCCCAACAAAGATTGTCCAAAGCAGTTGACCAAACCTAAGAGATCTTGCAGCTACATATCTGGCATCTGTTGCTCTTAGTGGTATCACGTTGCCCTTGCCCTTTGTGACCCCCGTATCTCTAGTACTACTTCATGTAGCACATGTAATTTAAACATTTATGTAAAGACCTTTTCTCCTCATAGCAATCAATAACTGGTATT